TATCTCTAAGGTTTCAAAGATCTTACCCCAGGTAAATGGGACACAAGTATGATTAAGATGAAGAGGGGAATTAACATTTATTGCTTGCATCCAGACACTATGCTGGTGCTTTACATATGTTCTTACAACTCATTGCTATCGCAACTTATGAGGCAGATAAACAGAAAAAAGGAAACAGAGAAGAAGTAACAGCAAATGTGCCAGAAAGATGAAAATGAGTATGGCTTTGTTTTTAGTTGTACAAAGTGCTGGCAGCTCTGTTGCATGAAAGCACATGAGACAGGAAGCAAAATCTAGGAATATAACCAGGTGCATGGGCAGGTGGGAGAACAAGTATTTAAGCACGCTGACTGAGATGAAATACAACTATCAAAAGGTTGGAGAAAGCAAACAAGAGGACCAAAACACAACCTCAAGAAACACACTGTTTCCAGTAAGCAGAGGAGGATCAGAGACTGGACTTAAAGATCTGGAGAGAGTGAGTTTCAAAAAAGGGAGTGGTGAAAAATAATTTATATTACACATAGATCAGAATGGCTAACCACTCAACCAGGGGGTTGACAAACTTCAGTCCACACAAAGCCAGCTTATAGCCTGTTTTCCTAAACAGTTTTATTGGAATTTAGCCACACCCATTCATTTACATATTTCCCATGGTGGCGTTCCTCCAACAGGACAGAATTGAATTGTTATAACAGAGGTGGTATGGCCCATAAAGCCTAAATTATTTACTATCTATCTACCTTTTTACAAAACAAATTTCCCAACTCCTGCCCTAGACAATGAGTTCACTATTCTCATCAGCATTTATTAAGGTCTGGCACATAGTATAAGCTCAAACATCTGTTGAATTATTGAATAATGATGACAAGATACTATTAGGTTGGGAAATAATGACCTTCAGGAAAGCAATTTATGAAGAATGTCTGAATTCTAGAGCAGTCGCAAAAGGGCAGTTACAGACATAAAATAGAAGAATTAAATTTGGAGAAGTGGGTGCTACTTACTCTGACAAGAAGGTAAGAAAGGATGAGTGATAATCCAGAAACACTCAAAGGTGAAGAGTGGGAAAATTTAAAAAACTGACACTGGATCATTTGATCTCATTTGATACCAACTGCAAAGTGAATATGGAGGAGCTTGGGGCTGGGGAAAAAAATATTGAAAAAGAAATGAGAGTATTTGGAAATGTCTATATGGGAAAGGTGGCTGGAAATGGAAAAGGTCATTGAACAGAGAAGGGTCCTCTTCAAGCTGAAAGCACAAATGAGCTATCAGAACAGGAGCACTGCGTATAAGCACCCACAGGCTAGCGGCCGGGCTCCACACGGAGATTCCAAGTAGGGGAGCAGGTGTATGGGCCTTTGTGATTTAGAAGCCTGACTTTGATAAATGGTAGTGGATACACCAGACCCAAAAAGAACTTAGATGAAGTTAATACTCAATTACCTGTGCACTATTTTAATTTTCTGGTTCAGAGGAAGAAAATGTCTAACTCCAAAGGTTACCATCCTGTCACCAATATAAAAAATTGACACTTGACATAGTACTCAGTCCTGACACATATTCAGGATCCCTTCTTTTCCTCATTACAAAATCAGAAAGGAAAAACATTCTACTGGTAGTGTGCTACAGCAAGATTTCCAGAGTTGCTGGTATTTGCACAAACATGGGGAAAGGACAGTACTTGAATTAAATGTATGGCCCTGTGACTAGGTCCTCAGTGCTGCCTCAACATTGCCTAGCTGCTTGTCTCCCACTTTCCATGACAGATGCCATATTTCATTAGTCCTGAGACAAAGTTGTTTTCACAGTTGTTACATCTCTGGAATTAGAATGCATTTTTTAATTGATGGTGACTATCAATTATAATTGACAGAAGATAGCTGGATGCAGAAGCAGGTGAAAACTCAGATATCTTCTATTTATAAAGTCAGACATTAAAGAGACAAAAATGTAAGAAAAAGTTGTCATTCTTAATAAATTTTTTTTAGAAAATTGTTTTTTCATAAAAATGCTGTCACTTGTACTAGCAGAAAATGAGTGTATTATTGCTTTAAAGCAAATTTAAATAGTTCAAATATATCTACTTTCCAATATGATAAAATCTCAGTAGCTATAAAACTGAGTTTCTCAAGAACCTTAGTGAGCATAGGTTTTAGGACCACAGCCAGAGAGGGATGCTTTGAGTTAAAGCAAATTCCTCCACTTGTGTACTAACCCTATTCTTTTCCAAATATTCCATAAATCCCCCAACAGACACATTTGTCATCATTTCCCTTCTGCAGAATCACTCACAGTTACAAGCAAGAGTGCTGTTATTTATCTCTTAAAAATAAGCCAAAAAATCCTTTTTCTTGACTCAGTTTCATCTTTCAGCTAGTTCTTCATTTCTCTGCTCCATTTGCAATAAACTTGCTGTAAAAGGTTGTCCATATTTCCAGTTTCAAATTCCACTCCTTATTCTCTTTTAAATCTGCTCCCATGAGGTTTTCCTACTCTTCCCATTCCACTGACACACCTCGTCAAGTCCCCCCTACACCCTCACTACCAGAGTCAGGTCTCCCTTGATATACATGTCTCCTTTTGCAGGGTTCCATTATGCACGAATTTCATTTACCTCCTTTTAGTTTAGTAGCCTACTCCCCCAACAGTTGGTTTGAGTTTGAGTTATGACAATGCAGTAAAAACTCACTGTCAGGTTTTCAGCCCACTAATCAGTTCACAACTGACACATACACATAGTGCTCATTGACAATCATACTAGGTCTTTCAAAGTCTGTGGGGCACCTGTTTTTCTGTTCATAGACAGGCTGCAAGGTTTATAGCTATGTTGTCTCCTCATCTCTCAGGGATAAACCACCATGGCATTTTACAAAAATGAATTTGTGAAAGAGGGAATTGGCCAAAAAAGGTAAGAGAAACAAAAAAAAAACAATAATGCTAGAAGTAAAATTCAAATCAAGCAAAATGGAGGTATGGAAGAAATAACTGGAAAGGTAGACACTGCTGCATTTAAGAGACTCAATAAGCAGCCAGGAACAGTAACTTTTGACAGAACTGAGGGAAGTGGCTGGAATTGAAAGGATGAAGTGACCCCACACACCAGCAAAAAATATCACACCAAAAGACCCCTTAAAGATATTTCACCATCCCTGAAGAAAGGCTAGAAGATATTTCACAACATTGAAAGCAAAAATAAGAAGATCTGGGAAGCTGATCCGATCTTAGAAAGGAAGATGACAATTTGTCAAGATATAGACATAACTTAGTTATATGATGAAAAGAAGTCAACATTGCTCAAACAATTCTTGAAAAAGTTTTACAAAGAATAAAATAATTCGAGATGTTGCCAATATTTTAAATTACCATTACGTATTAAATAAAAATTAGTTTACTACTTATCTTTCATTTTCCTATATGTTTGTAACCATCAGGGTTTTTGTGTTGTGAAAAAATGTTTAAAGGTCACAGAACAATGGTAAATTTTCCTTCAATGATTAGGACTGCTCTACCCAGCCATTCTTTCAGCCTGGCACTGCTGTGTAAGGGCTGTCTGCCTGTACTTTCTTTCTTTGGCTTCCAGGATACCATACCCACTTGTTTTTCTTCTCCCTCACTAATTGTCCTATCTCAACTACTAGTATTAGTGGACTCTATCCTTAAAGCTAATCTCCTCATGTACACCAACTCCCTGAGATTTTATCTCCCCCGACTTAAAATGACATTTACATGCCAAGAACTTCCCTTACATCTCCAGCTCAGACATTTTCCCTAATCTCCAGATTAACATACCTGAGAAATGGTTTGATATTTCTACTAGGATATCTAATAGGCATCTTAAACTAGTATATCCAGAACTGAAATCTCTGTCACAGCACCCAACAAGAAAGACTTCTCCTCTCCCCATGATGTGCATCTTCCTCATCTCAGTTAATGGCAATTCCTTCCTGCCAATTGCTCAGACAAAAACCTTGGAGTCATCCTTAACTACTCTTTCCCTTAGGTCTCTGTATAATATCTGAAGTCCTACCGGATCTGTCTTCAAAATATGGCCCAAATCAAATTTCTCCCCATCTGCACTAATACTCCCCTTGTCAAGGCACCATCTTATGTTGTCTGATTATTGAAATGCTTTGCTAACTAACATTCCTCCTAATTTATTCTTAACCTAACAGCTAGGGTAGATCTTTTAAAATATCTGTCAAACTTTGTCACTCCTCTACTCAGAATCTTCGCAATGACTTCCTCGCCATTTTACTCAGAGAAAAGTCAACATTTTCTCAAAGACCTAGTTGATCCTACATAATCTGGTCCCTTGTTATTTTTCTAACTTTATCATCTACTCCTTTTCCTGTCACTCACTCCATTCTAGTCAGTTTCAGTGGTTTACCTTTTGCCAATTCCTTAAGTAATCTAGGCATGATAGAGTCTTAGCACTCACCATTCTTTCTCTCTAGCAAGTTCTTCCTCTAGATGTCTACACTACTAACTCCCTTCAAGTACTTGCTCAATGTCACCTTCTCAAGATACAAGCACCTCCCTAGTCCACTGCAGTCTACCAACAGCCTCCTAAAACCCTTCTCATCCTTATTTTGCTTCATTTTTGCATAGCACTCATCATCTAATATACTGTATAACTTACTTGTGCTGCTATACAGTCAGCTTAACCAGCATATAAGGCCAACTCTGGAAGGGCAGCAATTTATTGCCTAGTGTATTTATGCAGAAAATTCTGAGTCTAGTGACTATCTGATGCATACCAGTATTCAATACTTACTTGCTAAATAAATGATGTTGAAAAGGTTCAAGTTAATATACTGGCAATTGTGCTAAGAAGGCAGTTTCAAGTTAATATACTGGGCCCAAAAGACATTCTGGGCATGTCTAATAACCTCCGACATCTAAAATGTGATTATCCATTCATCTTATCAAGAACTGAGTAAGTTCTTATTTGATGAATAAGTCCTATATGCTGAAGCCTAGGTGTTCAGACCTACGTTTCCAATTCTGTTGTAGGAGCCTGCTGTTTTCGAAAGTGGTTCTGAACTGACGAGAGTGCTTCTGGCGAATACTGGGCAGCGTTGCTCTCCATGTACTTCAAAACATACTCGTCTGTATCAAGGATGATGAACCTGTGGCCAAATACTGGCGAGAGGGTAGAAATATGCTTAGTTTGGTTTCTATCAGGCAATTAGGAGTAAAATAACACTCTCCTCCAGTGAAAATTCACAGATACACCCTGGACTAATGAACTTTCTCAATAGCTCTCTAAGCTGAAGAGTCATTTTCTCAGTGTTTTGGAAACTCAGCGTTAAATCTACAGTTTAGAAATATAAACAATTTAGAGTTTAATTGATAAGAGAGGGAATAAAGACATCATATATGAGATTATTACTTTTGTCTCAGAATACAGCCTAACTGCTTTTTTTTTTTAAGATTTATTTATTTATTCATACAGATCTGGGGTACAGGCCAGAGATGTGGAGGGTGAGAGGATTCACCAGAGACAGAGTGGGGAGCAGAACAGGCAGATCAACGAAGTACACCGCTGAGGGGAGCAGCAGGCGGGTCAGGAGAGGTCTGCCGCGCCATGTGGTCACCTCCAGGGCAGGCGGGGATCGAACTCATGCGGAAGTGGCTTAAGCTTCTTAGTGCTGTGCTTTAACCCACTGCGCCACCAAGGAGGGCCCCTAACTGCTTCTTTACTGAATTAAGTACCAACTACGAAGGGTCCTTTCCTTTCCCTGGCTAGCAGGAAAGACTAAAGTGTCTTCAGACCTACCCTCAATCACAGCACCAATGAAGAAGTCACTAGGGCCATAGTAGTCAGGGTAGTCCACGGAAGAGAATGGCTTAACAACTTTTGTTCTGCCAAGGTATTTGCCGCCAATGATACCAGAATTGCGAACAGGAGGCTCAAAAATACTGATCATGTCAGTGGCTAGAAAATAAGATAAGACAAATCGGCGGTCTTTGTCTTCTGGGATGGGGGATTCCTAGAAAGGTGAAGAAGAGAGGATATCATGAAGGTGCATGGTCTGTCTTGATGCTTCCAAATGTAAATACCTACAGGAACTGGGTTTATAACATCAGCCCAATGTATAAATGATAGTACAAAGGCATGATTTGGGAGGATTTTCTGACTTGGAAAGCGTGTGCCTCATCTAAAGAAGGTTACCCCAAACCAACCTCAGTTGATTGCTGCCTTGTGGGAAGGCAGGACTAATGTTGCTAAATCTTCCAATTCTTCATGGTAAGATAGACGTATGGATTACTATTTAAAACCCCTGATTTTAAAATGTTGACTTCAACTCTTTCAAAGCAACATGTAGCCAAACAAAACACATATACAGGCTACAATCTGCTCACAGGCTTGAGACCTCTTGGCTGACATTTTGTTCAACTTCATGGTAACAAAATGGGTATTCAAGGTTTAGTTCTTTAAACAAATCTATTTATGCATATAATTTTTACAGGAATATTTGTGAAGAAAGGACTCAGTAATATAAAATCATAGAGTTTTAAGTGATTCTGAGAAACTATCTTGTAGACAAGACTTTTTCTATAATAAATCAAATCACTGGATCCTTGAGAAATAAATTCCAAATCAACAAGACTAAATACAGACATGCTTATTCCTATCTAAAATCCTCTCATATTGCAACTTCAGCACAGGCCTTCATTCAGACCATGAAATTACTTGTGTAGTAATTTCTTGTTTATCAAAGAAAGCTTCCTTTTAGTGAAATACTTTCCTCGTCACCAAGGTTTCCAAACTTTATTTTGATAATAAAAAATGTAAACACAGACCCATAATATAGATAATAAAAACCAAATCATATCCCTTTTCTGCTTTTAAACCTCCAGATGACTCTTACTGTGTTTAGAATAAAAAGCAAAGCCCTGAGCAGGGCTATTGGCAATTGGCAAAGGCACACCAGAAGGGTGGCACTCATTCACCCTGGCAGGAAAGAGTGTTTTAAAATGGAAAAAAAAACCAAAAAACTTTTGAATTGTGCAACTTTGAAAAATACAACAAAAAAGACCTCACATCCTTTTTAGTGTATATCAAGGGGCTCACAATTAAATTTAGATACAGAAAACCTGCATAACATTACATCAGCACAACCATTGTACAACTATAAAATCCAAGAAAATAACAAAGCAAATGGTATCAACTATTGAGTAAAACTACTCTCCTTATTCCAATCTCTCCTGTTTTTTGCTTATGTCCTCTTATTTCAAGAAACTACACATTTAGTCTTTCTTATTCTTTAATCTATAATCTGTGAGCATCTCAGTCTGCCTTTGTCTTAAATAAATGACTTTGACACTTTTGAAGAGCACTGGTCAGTTCTTGTGAATATCCCTCACGCATCTCATTTTAGCATTTTGGCAAAATAGCACAGAAAAGATATCTTGCCCTTTCAGCCATATAAGGAGGTTCACAATATCAATGTACCTCATGTGTGATGTTGACCTTGATTGCCTGGTTAAGATGTCTGATGGGTTTCTCCCCTGTAAATTACCACCTTCACCTTTGCAGTTAAATATCTTAAGGCAGATAGTCTGAAACTGAAAATCTTGTTTCTCCTCAGAGGTTTTCTCACTTATGATCAGTTTTTAAAACAAGTACTGCTTTTTGTATCACACTAAAGAATATTTCTCTACTACAACTACATTTATTTTTACAGCTACATTTTACTACCATTAAGAAATTTTATAGGTTTTTCTTTCACATTTAAATCTCCAGTCCAGTCAAAACTGACTTCTATGTTTAGCGGGCAATTTTTCCCCCTCTTTTCCCAGAAGGATGTTTAATTGCTCCCATACCATTTATTGACAAGACTTCCCTTTGTCAGTTCCTCTGCAATGCCATGCTTGCCAGATAGCCTAAGTGCTGTTTTATTCCATTGGTCAATTTTCTGTCTTTGAACCAATATCACCTGTAATTCTAATATTTTGAAACCATAGATCAATTTAGGGTGAATAGCTTTATAATTTTGAATTTTCTAACCAATTCACACATTGTATTCCTTCTTTTATTTTGATCTTTTTTCATTTCTTCTCTAACATTTTAGGTATAACATACCTTTTGTTTGATTTATTCCTAAAAATGCATTATTTTGCATGCTTTGATAAGTGGCATTTTTTTCTGATTTCATTTTTTGTATGTTGCCATCCATACCTTAACTTTACTAATATGTAATGTAGATTCTACTTGATTTTCTATATATACAATCACTCATTTTAAAAAGTGACAATTTTATTTAATTCTTTTCACTTCCTATACCTTTGATTTCCCTTATTATTTTATGTTCTAGCACAATAATAAGTAGATGGGGAATAGAGAGCAGTTTTGCCTTGTTCCTAATCTCAGAGAAATCAACATTTCACCACTAAGCATGCTGCTTGCAGATTTTTGGTAGATAGTCTTTATCAGACAAAGGAAATTCTCTTTTATGTGCTATTTACTAAGCAGATTATTTTAAAACCATACTAGATAAATTTATTGAATACTTTTCTGTACCTAAATTCTCTTTGTTTTCATTACTGTGATAATTTTTCAACTGAAATCCTTTGTTGCTTCTAGTTCTCTGCTGAAATTCTCAACTCTACCCTTATATCTTCTTAAACAAATTAAATACACTTTTAAAGTTTGAGTTTGATTAAACCAATATTTGAAACTCCCATGAATCTACTTCTATTGTCTGTTGTTTCTACTCATTTTCTTCAATGTCCTGTGTCTGGACCTTGCATTAACAGTTTTTTTTTTTTTTAATGAGTAACATACATTGTATTTCTTAAATTGTTTATAGAAATAATTTGAAATGTATGATGATGCTATCTGTAGAGAATTTACACTTGCATCTGCTAGACACATGGGGACATTACTAGCCCACATTAATTTAAACTGATTCTGAAATTGAGAAAATTCAGGGATTTAGATATTTCAAAGTCAGACAAATAGTTCTTTCAAGGATAAGCCATTTGTGGACAAAAGAGTTTACTAACGCATAAAGAGTTTACTAAGGTTTGTCCTTGAGAGACCCTCGTTTGCAATGCTTCCCTTCACAGGTACTTCTTCTAGAATCAGCAAATAATCTGAGGTAAAAATAGTTCCATTTGCCAGGCTCAATAGCCTCCTGCATCTTGCTCAGTGATTCTTTACAGGTTGTTAGTTATTCAGTACCTTCAAGCAGTAGTGTACATGTACATACACATATACACTCTAGTTGTTCTAAGCAAGACGGTTAATTAAAATTAGTTTATCATTGTCAGAAATAGAAGTCCTTCACTGACTCTTCACTCTTTTGTAACATACCACAATTGCCCATGCTATTTGTACACATAGAAGACTGCTGTCTATGTAATATATTTTTTCTCCTCATTTAGTGACATCTAAGTAATTAGTAGCAATTTTTATAATTAATTATGTAATAACTTTTCTAGGATTTTTAGGTATGGAAGATAAGTTTACAGTCATATAGTTTACAAACTCATGCTATTTTCATAGCCCTAAGTATTATACTGATTCTTGATCAAAGGAATGCTGGGTAAAGAGTCAAAAGACTGAGTTCTAGTGTTGCCTCTGCCTTATCATCTTGAGACTTGGGGCAAATCAATTAGCCGTTCTGGTTCTTATGTTTTGAAACATTAAAATGGTATAGTATCAAATTACCTAGTTATTGAGAGTGCATTTGTAAATGTGTGTAAATTAATTTACTTATTCATTCAAAATTTATTGAATCTATGAAATCTAAAAAGACATGATCTTGTCCTTAAGGAGTTCATAGTTACTATATCAAAAATTCAATAAATCTCTTGAATTTTAATGGTAACTCAAAGAACTTAGCAATGATACAAAGCCTTGATTAATCAGAATTCTTAGGGTATGGAGTGTTCTAGTTGGGCTGGAGTTGCTCGAACTCATTTTTTTAAGTTTTGTTCAATATTTTTCTAAAATAATCAGCCAATTATGTTTTTCTTTAATTTTTTTTCCTGCTACATGTAAAGAGTTTGAAAAATCAGCTACCCACCCATGCCTCTCCACTCTTAATTTCTATTCCCAGAAATATCCTACATCCATCTTTGGTATTTTTGCCCATATTTCTAAAATGCTTATATTCCTATTTCTACTTAGTTTCCCCCTATTTTAAAGACACTAAACTCTCAACTCCTATTTGGTAATCCAGGCAGTGAGTGGCATATTCAGGATTAGAATTTATGTCTGTCACCAAACCCATACTCTTAACCATTAACTACACATTTGTTCTCAAAGCCAGTATCTATTAAATTTGTATGGTTGCATGTATTACATTTAATAACTATGAGATGCCTCAAGCTAGATATCCTAATACTAAAAAATTTGTAAGACATAGTTCCTGTCCTCAAGGAAAGCACAGTACATGAGAAAGGCACACAAATATACAAATAATTTAAATATGTCAGGTTCCATAATTGCTAAATAAAAAAGGCCAAAAAAAAAAAAGGTGTGGAAAATTTGAAGGTAGATAGGAGAGATAAATGATCTAAGAAAGATTCAGAGGGAGAATAGGACTTGCAAAAAGGTCTTGGTTCAGGGGCACCATACTTAATGACAATCTGACCTGCCAATGTTTTAAAGTACATACAACTCTAGACAGCTCTGACTTTACAGCTTACAGACCAAATGAATACCTGTGCACAGTCCTAAGAGCAGGATCTTAAAATTGAAATGATTCTCACCAGTGCAGCCAAATAACGAAGAACCTTGTTATCATTCACCAGCATTTTAATAACATCTTTTTTTGGAGCTTTTGGAATAAGAACAAAGCAATTCTGAGCAGAGTCTTCAACTAATCCATAACCATTATAGGGAGGTAATTCCTGAAGAAATGCAGAAAGCAAGAAAACATGTATTTGTGTTTTACATTAAAAGTAACAAAGTTTCTTTGAAAAAAATCTAGAATACATTTATTCAAAAGCAATTCCTATATGTACACATGTGGTCAGAAAAAATAACATGGCATAATCTGTATTTATAGATTTTAAATTGTGATTACTGCTCAAAGTAACCCTCAGAGCTAGACTGAAACTAGTGCTGATGTGCTTTGACCTTTTCTGCCAAAGCGGAATAGGCCCTACCCCAGCCTCTTCCCCCAGCCCTTGCATTATTACAAGCCTGTGTAGCCCATGGATCTGCCTGTAACTTCTGTTCTAGGGTGTGGCCTCAGCCTGGCAGTTGTGGAAACATTTCTCAGTTCACCCACAGTGTATATGTGTATGTGTTAAGAATTCTGGAAGGGGAGGTCTGGACTGAGTTCAAGCTACATTTTTTTTTTCCCCATAATTACCTCCGGATTTCTGTGAACCTCAAAAAATAAGCAGCCAACTATTTACCAGGAAAATGGATTTAGTCATAAACATCTAAAAGCAGTTAGGAAGTACAGTTTCATGAAGAAACATCTGCACATTTCTCCAGAAGAAAAAAAAAATGAGAATTTCATTTGTAAAGTTGGGAAGGAACTCTCTAATCAGTTGAACTATTGCTTGGTGAGAAGGAAGAGACTCTTCTCCCACTGGGGCAGTTAAGCAACATCACTTCCGTTGGGTTCTGGAGAGTGAGCTGATGGCTCTCATGCAGCAACTCTTCTAGCCTTCTGAACCCATTCAAGTGAGGCTTCTGTGTATCAATGTTTATATACGCTAATGTTTTTATTTCTTGACATTCTCTCACTAAGTAGAGTTGACAGCAATATCTTTCTGGGCAGTCACACTCTGTCCTCACAGGACTCTCTCTTCCTTATGAAGAGCCAAACTCAAGAAACCAAACCAAATTTCAAATACAGAAGGTAAATTTGATGAGTTAGCATGAAAGTATAAGGTGCACTTATATTTTTTTTTATTCAGGTTCTGTGAGGAGCTGAAAGCATCACTCTAGGATGCTAGCATTTGTTTCTTCTAAAACTTTAGTTTTTCCTCGGTCTCATCAATGTTAGACAGTCTGCAGCAGAATTCTTTTTCTGTAAGTCCTTTTTGTTACAATTGCCCAGCAAACTCAACTTGTATCATGCTTTTCACTTGAAATTACCTTCCCCAACTCTTTTTATATATTGTATTCAGGCACTTCAACAAATTAGTCTATATGATCCCTGGTGGCTTCTGTAGACCTCAAATAAAAAACAATCAGTAATTCCAACCACAAAGAGAGTACATTTGGAAACAAAACAACAGAAGAGAGTACAGACTGGAGTGTGTGTTCATGGTGAGGTCCATGCGCACTTCCTGGAATCAGAGATGAACAGCCCCTTAAACTACCCCTTAAGAACCTCTTCTTCAGTTTCATTGAAGGTGGAAACAGTGGGAGAATGCAGGGCATCTTGCATCTGTCATTTGATATTGGGCTCCTAGTTTGATGGTTTCTACAACCATAGGAACTCTCTTTTTAGCCTTCTGACCTCATTCAAATAGGGCTCTTAATTAATGTCCACACATCTGTCACTGGGTCTTCCCTCAAAAACTAGTGGTTGCTATGTTCACCCAAGGCTTGGAACACTGACCACTTCCTAGGGCTGTAGTTAATGTAATCATCAAGCCACAGATCCAATAGATGGACAATGACTGAATTTGCTCTAAAAGCCAAAACCACTGTTCAATGAATATGCAAGTTACCAAAGACAATGGGACCTTTGATGAGACACTACCAGCTACCATTTGAATCGTCTAGAGACTATACAAAAATACACAGAGGTGGCATGTAAACTTACCTTACAACAGAATAGGTCTCAACAAAAGCAGCCTGTTTGGGGGATGGGCAGTGTTGAAAGATTTTGAAACTGGAAGGTAAGCCTCTAAGCAACATCCTCTCAAATTCCTTTTGTGTTTCAACAGGCTTCTACCTGTTTTTCCTGAATGGCACTTCACATCCCCTGCTTGGAACAAAGACCTTCCCAAAATATCAGCCTGTATGCCTTGGGATCCTGGTACCTTGCTTCTCATATTCCAAGCTACTACTTGGGTGCTTTTCTAAGCCAGGTGAGCTACTCTGACCAAATACATCATCACTCCTAGGTACTCCTGCTCAGGTGACCCTTCCAGTAGAATTTCTGCCCACCTATCTTAACAAAGCAAGTACACATGGAGTCAGAGGCCCATAATCCTTCAGATATTGTTTTTGGAGACCAGCTCCACGGCAGATTAGCTCTCCTAGTCCTGCTTCTTCCTGTTCCCTACCAGTGTGTCTCCAGATTGAGCCAGACTGAGATAAGACATATCTGGGCACTGAACAAAGCTCACTCATTCTTGGCCTAGCATATTAGCCTGACCTATGGCTTTCATAATCATGATGTTGAATATATTCACTTCATATCTGCTTCCATCCTTGACAACTGGGTTGACTTTAGCTTTATCCCTCTAGACCCTGGCACAGCCTCTTATACCTGCTTTCCAACTACGTGGCTCAAGGTTTAAATGACTGACATGCAATGACTAAAGAGAGCGAAAGGTTTCTGCTGTTTGATAAGTAGGGTTCTCCTACTCAATCCAACAAGGACTGTCATGGACAGGCACAAAGAAAAATATAATAGAATGATAGAAATAAACTAATCATACATTCCAATTAATGCACCATATATATGGGTGTAGAATTACTTTTACTTTATTATGGGTGTAGAATTAGTTTTATTACGCAGATCACCTATGATAGGCCAAATCCAACCAACCAAGCAAAATCTACACTGGTTCTTCAATTCTCTCTGCTGTCTATCCACATCTTCTTCCCTTTTTCTTTCTTTAGAAGATTTGTTAGGAGAAAAAAAGGTGATAGTAATAAGAGGCTTTCTAGGACTCAAAAAGCTTTATCAGTTCAAAAGGATGGATAAAAATCCTCTCATTAAGAAAAGAACACTATAATATGCATCACAACAGATAGTCAGTTTCTGAAGTAAGAAAATGTACCCTTGTTTATACCATGTTATAAACTAATGTTAACTCAAGTTTTGAAAAAAAATCAGTTACAAAAAGAAGAATGCACCACTAAGTTGCAAGCTCTCTCCATCCTACCTCTTGACTAGGTGTGGCCCCTTTTTGTAAGATGTTTTACATCTAATAGGCCCACCCTGAACTCTACATGAGCAATCCCTTGGGGAGATACACACACACACACACACACACACACACATATGTATAAAGTATAGTACATATATTAATTATAAATGACAGTGGTGGAACAATTTGCTTGATCAAAATCTAAATCTCTTCCCATAGTGTTATTTCCTATATACTCTATCAAATGCTATCCCCAAAACTGGGAGCAGGGATAGGATTTTATTAGAATTCTTACTCAGTTTTATACACACAGTGTCAATTTATTGTATGAAAATCTATCAGAGAAAACATTTATAGCAAGAGATATTATCATCACACTGCCTTCCAGAAGTTTTCTTGCCCCTGAGAACTCATATTAGAGGTGGACCAGCACAGCAAGCAGACCTCAGCAATGAGTGACACTAAGGACTCCAGCCCTCATTTCCACACCATAGACAGCTCAGCTACTTGCACTACAACTCCCAGCATGCCATGAACTAGACCTGAATGGAGGCTGCTGGGAAGAAGGTAGAGCAGGGAGGCCATTATGGTGGAATAAGAGAGAAGCAGGAAAACAAGAGGGTAGAAGTATCTTTCTGATTTCCTCATTAATACTTTGGTTATGACTCACTCAGAAAGTATGGCAACCACTTTTTTTGGCCCTTTGGTGGATTCAACTTGTATGGTACATTTTGAGTCTGCTTCTCTCCTAGCTCTCTGGGACCTGCTGAACCCCTTGTTTGAGATTCCTGTTGAGAAGTACCTTGGGCTTGTTCTCCCAAGAGCTCTGCTCTGGGACCATGGTCACTTGGCTTTGAGCACTGCTTGTTTGCCTGAACAGGTACCAACAAGGGATTAGGTGTTTGACTGGAAGTTTGTATTTTAAAATCCTTTCTTTCTCTTTCTGTTCTTTGGACTTCTTACTAGTTATGTGCTTGAGTAGTTCATCAAAGTCCTTCAGCTCACTAGAGTTTAATTATTTTGCCTTTACACGTGCAGGTGACATGAAACCCAAGAATGGGTAACATGGGATTTTCCCTCTAACAGTGTGGTATCTCTGGGCATCCCTCAGTTTTGTACAATATCAGTTTTGGTTCACAGCAGTTTTGTTAGCTATCACTCATAACATACCAAAATTCAATTCTTTCTTTGACATTATTTTTTATGAAATGTTGGTTCAAAATATCTTGTCTAATATACTCCTTGACTTGAGGGAACAAAAACATATTTCATAGGAATTTTCAGTTTAAGAAATACATGACATGATGCTTACTTGTTATTTACTGTATTTATAGGGCATGGTCCCTACCCTCAAGGAATTTACAGTCTAGTAGAAAAGATCCATAAACATATCTATTAATATAACAGATAGATTCTAGAGGAGAGAGGCACAGAACTCCCCCTCCCCTCCACCCCCACCCCCCAGCAATACAGGAAAGATGGTCAACCCTGCCAAGAGCTTTAGAAGTCTTCTTAGAAAAGAGGAGACTTACACTAAGTGTTGAAAGACTGAGAAAGAGACATGTAAAGAAATAATAGAAACCTGGGTCAAGCAGGTGGAAGGATATCAACAAAAGCCCAGGAAAACAGGATACTGTATTAGTATAAGCAAAGGTAACTGTGAGTACTGGCAGCTAAGTGGAGGAAGCATGGGCAGCAGCTGGAAGAACAGCATGTGTCTATACTGCAGGAATTCAGTAATGGCATCCATCTTTTGAGAAAAGAACCCAGTCACTTTATTTTATACACATAGTGGCTCTTTAAAGATAAGCCTTGGGTATTAACACCCAATTTTTTTTTTAAAGATTTATTTATTTGTGCATACAGAACTGGGGTACAGGCCAGAGGCTCAGGGGCGGTGAGAGGTTTCACCAGAGACAGAATGGGGTACAGAACAGGCAGATCGACGGAGTACACTGCTGAGGGGAGCAGCGGGTGGGTCAGGAGAGGTCTGCCGCACCATGTGGTCACCTCCGGGGCAGGTGGGATTCGAACTCATGCGGAAGCGGCTTTAGATTCTCAGTGCTGTGCTTTAACCTGCTGCGCCACCAGGGAGGGCCCTTAACACCCCATTTAATCATGGGGAATAGGCAAAAGTATAATAAGCATTTGTGCAGTCAATCCATGAAATTATACTTCAGATACTTGTTGAATTTGATGTATAATGTACACTTTTTAAAACATGCAGTTTTCATTTGAAAGACCTAAAATATGTGACTTGGCTAAAATTTTCAAGGCTCAAGATTATCGGATTACTATTTCAGTGCATTAAAAGCACCATGAACGTACTCTTGGAGATCAGGGACTTTTGTGGTGTAAAGAACTGAATTTTGTGGTCCCCTGTGATTCTAAGGAAAGCTATGCAATGATAGAAAGCCATTTCCAACACTGTCAATTAGTCGGTTTTTGTTTTGCTTCCAATCATTTTTAAATGAAAGGATTTGATAGGAATAATGAACTGTGCAGGAGTCTGGACTCCTAAGAGTTTTTTTTATCAAAAATTTTAAAATATTATAAAAATAATACAAAGCTTGATATAAAAAATGAAATTAAAACTACACCAAGTAGTGCAAAAAGTTCTCTTGTCATCTACCACTTCTTTCCCTACCCCCTCTCACCCCATTCCCACATGTTGACTGTTAACTGCTGTTAACAGTATGGGTGGATATTATTTCAGGTCTTTTTCTCAGTAAGAAAAGCAGACATTCCATGCAGTAACTTACAAAAATAGCACCATGTCACATATACACATTGACTTAAAAATGTTATGGACAATTTTCCAGCTTAATATGCATAGATTTACTTTTTTTCATATAAGAAAGATATATTATAATTTTATATTTAGCCAATGTCCTTATACTTTATTACAAATAACACCACAATATACATTCACACATACCTTTTTGTAATTCCTTAAACAGATTTTCTAGATCAATATGTATGTAATATTTTATTTTGAAAAAATTAAACATGATGACAAAATGCCCTTCAGGAAGGTTTTTCTGATCAACTCTCCTGTTGAAAACATATGAAAATGCCCATTTCCTCACACTAGGGCAAATACTGACTATTACAATTCTTTAAATCAAACAGATCTATAACCTCATTATTTTCACTCCTCTGTCTTTGATTATCAGTTAGATTGAAAGGCCATTTCATATACTCATTAGTCACTTGTATTTCTTCTTTTGTGAACTGCTCTATTTCATATGCTTTGTTAATTTTTTATTAGGCATTCATATGAGTTTTGCTTTTTTCTCTTAAATTTCTTCATCAAAAGATTTATTCTCTTAGGTTCTCCCTGGTAGTGCAACGGGTTAAAGTCCAGCCCTATGAACCTAGCTGCAGCCACGTCAGCATGAATTCAATCCCCAGCCTGGGAGCTGACCCATATGGCGCAGCTGACCTCTCCTGTCTTATCCGCTACTCCCCTCAGCAGTGTACTTCGTAGATCTTCCTGTTCTGCTTCCCACTCTGCCTCTAGGGAATCCTCCCACCACCCCTGTATCTCTGGCCTGTACCCCAGTTCTGTATGCATAAATAAATAAATCTTTAAAAAGATTAATTCTCTCACTAGACTTAGAACTAGGGCCCCATTACCTGCTTTACAGGAGGTGGTTCCTTCTTGCTAACATCAATACAAGGTAAATCAGAGATACCAAATTTTTCTTTGTAATATTGTCGTGTGAATGGGTCACAGTCATAAATGAAGAACGTTCTCCCAAGGATGGTGAGTGGTTTCCCAACAATGAAGTCTTTGGCAGTATACCATTCCAACACTTCTTGATCAGATATTTCCAGCACACATTGAGGAAAGTTCTCTAACATAAGAGAGAAGTACAAAAAAGGAATGAGGATGGGAAGAAAATGACACATAACAGCTAGGCATTCTTGAGAACCTGAGGGAGAACAGTCTTTTGATCTGGTCCAGGGCCAGGACTCTTCTACATTCCCAGCAGAACATGTGGTACATAGTTTCCATCTGTTGACAGGACACATAAATAATATCCCATATGGTTTTTATAAAGCCTCTCTTCCATATTCAGCTCAAACTATCATTACAGGTCACTGATCTTAGAAGAATTAGTGCTTAGAAGAAATCAGTACAGGATGAAAGAATAAATATCCTTCCACAAAGATAAGAGGAACATATCGACGTCACTTAGTGTAATTTCCCATCCATTTGCTCACTCATCCAATAAAGTATTAGTGATCACATCTATCAATTACTAGGTGCACTATAAAATACCAAGATGACAATAACAATGTGGATACAATTCTAGAATTCCAGACTTGATGGAAAAAAGCATTGCTTAGGGGCACATATACTGAACAATTATACAAATAATGATTCTGTTTCTATTGTGACAACTGCTATTAGGGTAGTCTGAGCTACTCCTGAAGGAAGTATAAGGGACAGTCAAAGAAATGACTATAGGGGTATTCCTGGTGGCACAAAGTTCTAACACTTAGCACTATGAAGCTGTAGCTAACTACTGCAGCACAAGTTCTATCTCTGGCCAGGGAACTAACACACATGGCACAGCAGACCCCTCCTGTCTGGCCTGCTGCTCCGTTCAGCAGTGTATTTCAGTAGATCTGTCCATTCTGCTCCCCACTCTGTCTCTGTTGAATCTTCTTATTGCCCCCACACATATCTCTGGCCTGCACCCAGCTCTTGTATGCAGAAATAAATAAATCTTTGAAAAAAAAAAAGGAGAGGACTAGAAATCTGTTCAATAGAACAGGATAGAAATCAATCGATTGTTAAACATAGAATCAACCTTGCATTTTGTGAGTAAATCCAATTTTGTCCCACATTTTATTAAAACTAAAATTTGATTTGTTTAAGATAGATTCTCTGCAGCATAGTTTCCATGGAAACTATATTCTGGTAAAGTGCCACACTGCTGACCTGAACCACAAAGCTTGGCCCCAGAATCCCACTCAAGAAGCAAGACAGGTACACAGATATTCTTATAGTTGATAATTGCCAAGATGGGAAATAGGGATCAGTAATGTTCTACTACCGCAGACAAACAGAAAGAAGAGCTGGTATTTCCCTAATAAAGCACTTTTTAAGCCTCCAAATCTCCCAGTGTCTACCCTACAAAATCCCTTTGAGTTGCTCCAGGAAGTCATGGGCAATGGGGGACCCATCTCTAATTCCAGTAAACAATGTGCCAGGAGCGCTGGGGCGCGCTTGCGCATGCGTGTGTGTGTGTGTGTGTGTGTTGCGCGCACGCACACACAAGATTTCTAGCCATTCACTTTGTTCAACAGTTGTTTTGGGCATACTTCTGAATTTCTTTTACTGACATTTTGTTTAGTTGCCCATATGTTCATAAGTAAAACAGATTGATTTTCTTACGGTGTCTTTGTTTTTACTCATTAAAATGAATGAATGAAGCTCCTTTTTCTCTGAGTTTGTGTTAAGCTTAGAATGATCTCTTTATATGTTTACCAAAACTCATCTGAAAAGTTTTCTCAACCTGGTTAACTTGTGGATGATTCTTTTTACTTATTCTACTTCTCTAATAATTAAAAACAGTTGGTCTCTATTTCTTTTTAAGTTAATTCTTAAAAATTGAATCATTTCATATAACTTTTCAAATTTAGTGGCATAAAGTTGTTGTTATTATTCTCTTATTTTCTGTTTAATACCAAATAATTTAAAAATATGAGTCCTCTTTCCATATTTAATATTGTACAGGTATGCCTTCTTTTTCCCTTGAAAAAGCTTGTCAGTGGTTTGTCATTTTATTAGTCCTTACAAAAATATAGCTTTTAACATGAAAATCTACTATTACTTTGTTTTCAATTTCATTATTTCCAGGATTTTATTTTATTACTTCTTTGTTTTAATTTCTCTAGATTTATTTTACCATTCCTTCTTTAAATTTTAAAGACAAATGCCTACTTAAAATTTTAGTGTTTTTTCTTTCTCAAATAAGCATTTAAAGCTATAACTCTCCCAAGTGTTATTTTAGCTATATATAAAGTTCTTAGGGACTTATAGCTATCATTTACTTATAAGTATTTTTTTTAATTCATATTACTTAGAAATGTGTCTTTCATTTTTTTTTCTTTTTATGCTGTAATGGCTGGTGACAGCTTGATACACTGCAGTTGTAACCCCTGTTACCTGTGTTTTTCAAGTTTTAAATACATGTGATTTTTTTTAGTTATAGTTCCAAAATTAACTTCTACCTGAATTGTGTTACTCTCTGATAATGATATATGATAACTAGACTTTAACATTTGCTAAGACAAATAAGTTTTTGTAAGTGTTCCATTTGTGCTTATAAAGACTGGGAATTGTCCAGGTATTGCTGCATATACTTATTATTAAATCAACATTGATACTTATATTGTTCAAATCCTATATATGTACATTGTTTTTGTTTTTTTTTAAAGATTTATTTATTTATTCATACAGAACTGGGGTACAGGCCAGAGATGCGGAGGGTGAGAGGATTCATCAGAGACAGA